GAAAAAAAAAAAAAAAAAAAAAAAAAAAAGTGAGCTAATAAAACTTTTTAAATAAAGTACCTAGTGGCAGGTGTTTTGTTGTTGCAACACAAATGGACTAAGTCCTGTCATATGTTTTTTAAAGTTTGGTATTCAGTGCCATACTCCCTCTATGACAGGAGTGCCCATGGGACTGTAGATGCTCTCAGGTCCAGAATGAGGGATCCACAACTCAGCTTGCTCTTTGAGCCTGCGGGGGGTTGACTGACTGTGTCAACATGGATAAGTAACGCCCAACCAAACTGGCTCGGCGTAGTTCCCCACCCTAGGGAGGATTACCACTAGAATGGAACAAAGGACGAAGAAGGAAGGATGGCTTCTGTTTTCTTCTGCGGCACTCCAGTCTTTGCTTTCATCTTGGACATCATCTTCTGGCTTCTGGTGCAGACTTTATAGTCTTCTACCAAAGACCCTACAGCCTCCTGATTCAGACTCACGTGGGACACTACACTGAACTCTGGGCCTTTGACTGGATCCTTCAGATCCCCAGCGTACAGACAGACCTTTTGTACTCTCCCATATCCATCTTGGGGTGGCCAAGATTTAAGCCAATCTTATAAATTCTTATGTATTTATCTGTCCTTAAAAAATCTGTTTTCCTTAGTAAGCGCTGACTGATCCAGAACCCATCAGCTTCCAGGTTATGCTCCTACCAGTTGCTGGTCCAATGCACCATACCCAGTGGGGGTAGAAAAGTCAAGCCAGACTCCTCCACTTCTGATAGACACATGGCCAAGCCCATGGTGTAATGGTAGCCCCACGAATTTTGCAACCACTGCAGTGGGATGTGCTAGGTACCTGGCTGAGCTGGGCAGGAGCCCTGCCCCTGCTGAGTCGCCAGCTATGACACTGGTATCTTGGGGCAGGGATGGGTACAACCATGTGCCACCATTATTGGGACATGGGCATTACAGGGCACCTGAGTCACCCCTAACCATTGCCACACTCATTCTCTGGCCCCTGATGGGTGGAACAGGGTAGTGGCCAGTGGGAGGTCAGGTAGGGTTCAGATGAGGGAATAAGGAACAGAAGGGTGTGAGCCTTCCCTCAAGGCAGTAGGAGGCCAAACAGTGGCTCCAAGCCTCCAAACTTCCAAACTTGTCCTTTTCGACTTCACTTACAGACACAAATTCTAGGATGAGAGTGTTAAGAATCTCAGTGTGATGGCTGCAGAACATTAAGCTCCAGGAGTGAGCCCTTCTCTGTGCCCTCTACCGGTTGCAGAGGCATTAAAGCCAGTCCAGAGGTCAGAAAGGTTACAGCTGGATTTCACAGGGAGCAGGAAACTGGCAGCTGGCAGTAGGTCAGGCTCTCGGGCTCCTATTGCAAAGCTTGTGGCCCGTGTGCCATGTGTGCTTGTGGTCTGTGTCAGTCAGTTTTCCAGCACTGTGACAAGATACCTGAGAATGTCAACTTAAGGGAGGAAAGGTTTGTTTTGGCTCAGTTTCAGAGGTCTCATTCCTCTGTCAGCTGGCTCCATTGCTATGGACCTGTGGAGAGGCAGAGCACCGCGGTGCTTGGAGCACTCAGCAGAGCAAAGATGCTCACCACATAGCAGCTGGGAAGGGGCACAGGGCCCAAACATAGCCCCCAAAGACCCATTTCCTCCAGCTGCACCCCATTTCCCAAGTTTCCATCACCTCCCAAATAGCACCTTCACCTGGGAATCGAGCTATCAACACATGGCCTTTGAGGAACACTTAAGAGTCAAACTCCAACGGCCTTCCTTTTATTGTCAGGCACTACCCTGCATGCTACAGGACCAAGAGGGCCTCTCCGTGCCTGTAGACAGGCTGAGGACTTTTGCTGCCTAGTAATAGGACGTCTGTTTACAGTTGGAATGTGATCCAGATTCGCTCTCACAGTGACTTCGCTGCAAAGTTATAACACGTGGGTATGCGTAGCGCTCACCTGATTTTAACCACCAAAAGCTGCTGATAATCCACAAAGGAGCCTGGAAACAAATTGGCAGGTGGGTTTACTGTATCTTTCTAGCCTTTCTCCTGATTTGTAATCACAGTTTCCCTTGGTATCCACAGGGGATTGGTTGCAGGACCTCCAGTGAATACAAAATCAAAGAATTTTTTTTGAGTCCCTTATCTAAGAAAGAGTAATATTTGCATAAAACCCACCTACCTAATCTCACTTATAAACCTGCCTACATCCTTCAGTATGCTTTAAATCATTTCCAGATTAATTATAGAACATAATGCAATGTAAATACTATGTAAATAGCACTTAAACTAAAAAAGTCTACCTGTTTAATACGGATATAATTTCATGTTTGAAATATTTTCAATCCACCATTGGTTGAGTCTACAGATGTAGAATTCATGGATGTGCAGGGGTGACTGTATCTGAAAGGTCTCTTTGCTTACTTATGGATTGTCAGTTGGCTTTTTATTGTCCTAAAGTTGATGGTGTTGGCTCCCCCTCCCACCCCCAGTTCCATCTTCCTGGGACTCAGCACAGCTCCTGGCCCTGACTGGGGCTCATCATGGAATCACATACCATCTACTGTGAAACCGGTTTGTCACATGATCTGCTTGCCATGGGTGGAAAGGAGGGGAAGGCGGTTTCGTAGTTGTCTGTAAGGACCAACTAACCTTTAGCTGTCTGGTTATCCAGCATCTGTAGATTCACATCTAGTATTATTTTCCAGTTGCACTAGACTTTTAAATAGTTGAGAAAGAGGTCAAAAATACTTTTTTTTTTGTACCAGGGATGAAACTCGGGATTGTGTACTTGTGAGGCAGGCAGCAGAACCATTGAGCTAAATCCCCAGCCCTCAAAAATGCTTTTGATTCACTATGTATAGTACTTCTGCCTTCATCCGTTTTCCAGACTTGAGTTTGTTCTATGCGCAGTCATGCACAGAGGAACATAGGATTTGACAGATTTAAATTTGTATTCTAGTCTCACCCTTGAAAACAATGCCAACATTGCAGTAGGTAAGTGCTAAGCTCTTTTGAATTCTGAATCCTTCCTGTAAAGATACTCTCTTTGAAGGGAAAACAAGTAAGATTTTGCACATTAGAGTGCCAGCAGAGCTCCTGGAACACAGTAGGCGATCAGTATACAGAACAGCAGATGTAATCTTTGGGATCAGAGAAGGTATTAAGTGATGTTTGATTTGGGATTTTCTATTAGCTGCTCTCTTACCTCCTTTTCTCTGATATTAGCCCTAGATGTCTAAAGCAGACAAATAACCTTAAAGAATCAGTGTATGACGACACAGTATTTTGCTTCCTAATCTAACATGTCCATCGTTGGTGGACTGGGTACTGTGTTCCTTCCGCATGGCTGCCATATTCACTCTGGAACCCGGGATGACAGAACTTTGCTGGTTGTGCTGGAAGAGAGTGCTCTGGTGATTCTCACACAGGCAACTAAATGCTTCGCTCGGAAGTGATGTACAGCAGTTTTGCTCATTGCTTATTGGCCAGCACTGGTCATGTCATTGCAGGGGACCTGGGAGTATAATCTTACAGTTTTAGTCTGTTTGAATTGCTATAACAAAATGCCATGAACCAGATGGCTTATAAACAGCAGAAACTAAGTTTTCATAGTTCTAGAGCCTGAGGAGTCTAAAATCAAGGTGTCAGCAGATTGGATGTCTGGTGAGGATCTGTGACCTGGTGCAAGATGGTACCTTCTTGCTGTGTATTCATGTGGAGGGGAAAAGGGGCTTCTCTGAGGCCTCTTTCCTAACAGAATTAATCTCATTCATAATGAGCTTCCTTCTTATAACCTAATCACCTCTTATAACCGAATCACTTTCCATATACCATCACCCTGGGGTTATGATTTCAACATATAGATTTTGGGGATCACAAACATTCATACTAGAGCACTTACTATGTGTTCAGAGGTTGGTGAACAGCATGATAAGTACTTTTTTTGGGGGGGGGCTGTGCTGAGGTTCGAACCCAGGGTCCCATGCATACTAGGCAAGTATTCTACCACTGAGCTACAGCTCCACCTCAGCAGCTACTCTAACACACCCTTGACTGTACTATGTATGTTAAATACAAAACCATAGTTCTATGAATAGGTTTTATTATATTCAGTGTGAGGAAAATGGCATTAACTGGACAGATAGTTTTCCTAAGGTCAAATAACTAATAGGTTGTGTGAGTCTGAAATCCAGATCAAACTTGATAGCAAAAGCCTTGCTTTTAAAATTTATTCTTTGAGGAATATTAATGAATATCTGCAATCTTCAGGCAGAACTGACCTTTATAAATTCAAATACAAGCTGTAGGGAGTCCAGGAGAAACTGGCAGGTTTCTGTCCTGCTGTTGTCCTGCACCACCCCTCTGCTATGGATGGAAGAGCTGCATGGATTACCCGAATGCACCTGGCACTGCCCCTTTCAAACCTAGAAGTTTGCACCCTACTCCACCCTCACCTCCGTTTTAGAACTTGAACCTTCAGAATGATTAACATCTTCAGTAACTCAAGTTTTAGCCCTTCGTCCTGGATCAGTCCAGCCCCTGAAGTCCTCCTGTCTCCTGGACTCCTGTAACACTTCCTGCCCTCTTCTTAGCAAATATCACGTATTGTCTAATCAAGATAGGTTGCTGAGAAACATCAGTTTTCCTAGGCATTGCAAGGCACATAGATATTACCCTTGGTGGTAAAGTTATTGTATCAGTCACTGCTTACTAGAGAAACAGATTTAATGCAAGATATACAAATATATAGGATTTTACAAGGTAGGCTTACAATGGCCACCTGCAGTCAGGTGTAGAAGAGTGCACAAGGTCTGACGGTGAGTTGAAGATCTGAAGGATCCAGAAGGTTGGAGCTTACTGTAATGTCCCTTGCAAGCCCATATTGGGAGGCCAAAGGGTCTGCAATGGAGGGCTGATGGTTTTTGCTGGAGGCTGAGTCCATGCTGGAAGCCAGGAGATGACGTGGCTGAAGGTGAAGGTGAAGACTGGAGCTTTTCTGAAGAAACAGAAGTGAGCTTTCCTTCGTTTCCCTTTTCTTGCATTCAAGTAACAAGCTTATCGGTGGGCACCACACCCAGGATGGATACACTGTCTTCCATAAATCCTTTCAGCCACATCCAGAAGTATGCTGATTCAATTCAGGTGGGCATTTCTCACTCAAATTGACACAGTAAGTGAACGGTCACAGTTATGCTCTAACAGTCTGTGTGAGTGTCCTTCTTTCCATGAAAGTTTTTGTTACAGGCCATGTGGGATTCTGAATTCTGGATTGAGCAACAAGTAATATCATACAGAAATTACGAGGCACCAGCAGTGTAGGTTGTAGGCATGCAACTTAGGAGAAAGGGCATATAAACATTCTCTCCTAGATTCTTTGTCAACTTCAGAGTTTAATATCCCACTTCAAATACAACCCTACTACCCAGTATAGGTGTGAAACTCAGGCTGGTCACGTGGGGAAGGAATCTGGGTGAGGCAAAGGTGTCACTGAACCCTTTTGAAGGAGAGGACATAGTTCTGGCCAGACCATTTAGAGCCATGATCATTTAGGTTGCTGCAGCCCAGATGCTGTTGCCCTCAGCTCATTCCACTCCAGGAATGCCCCAAACTGTTCCCTGTCCCTTAGTTTCATTCATGGAAGCCGGCGCCTAAGGGACTGGGGCATCCATTGGTAGGGCCTCTCCAGGACCCATTTCTACACCTGCATCAGAGACTGTAAATATCCATCCAATGCCCATTCTGTGTTTGTAACTCAGTCCTGATTTTTATTCCTGGCGTTTTGTCCCTTGGATAAAGACGATATTTTCTAACCTACCTTGCAAGGCCACATGAGTAAACTTTAGTCAACAAGAGATAAGCAAATGTACTAGGCAACACTGCAGAAGGGCAACCTAAAGAAGGTGACTCAGCTAAAAGGTGAATCCCTTTTCCCCTTTGCCCTTCCTCTTTCAGCCTAGAATGCAGATATGATGGTTAGGGCTTTTCAGCAACTGTTCTGATTGGAGACCACATGTTTGGATGGTAGAGCAGGAAATTTAAAGGATTGTTAGTTTCCTGATGACTGAACTACAAAGCCACCACACCAACGTTGGACTTTCTACCTTTAGACTGGTCTTAAATGAGAAAGAAAGAAACTGTTTTGTTTATTCCCCTTTTGGGGGCATTTCTGACAGAGGCAGGCAATTTTTTCTCTCCTAGCAGTTACAGTCCTCTCCCTTCACATTCAGACCAATGGATTTAGGGTTCCCGGGGTGAAACCTTGGACAGAGGCTCAAGGTAGAGACATGCACCCTCCTGACCATAGGTATTGTTGCAGAAGTGGAAACACTACAAACCGGAAGGGAGACAGGACCCAGCTTTTCGAGGTTGTCGGGCTGGAGCTGTTGAGAGTCAGTGAAGGAGATGGTTCGTCCCACTCGTTTTGTTTAAATCCTGGATCGAGCTTTGCTGAAGTGAGACCTACCTCTAGGATTTTCACCCAAGGACGCTGGTGTCTTCTCTTCTGCTTCAGCCAGTTTCAAGTTCTTAGTCATTTATATCCAAAGGATCGGAAGCAATTCAGGTGTGTAGTTGGTGTCTCTGCTTACATGCTGGCCCCTGAATTTACCCTTGGTGTTCCAGGGTCATTTCTGCTCTTACTACCCTGGCTGCGCGTGACCTTGAAGGAGCATGGGACATTCAATATAACTGGGCCTAGAAGGAAGATTTGAGTCAGGAGGCTGGGGTGCCAATAGTTGTCCTTGCCGGATGATCCGGCAATCCCACTTCCTGCGGCCAGAGTTGTCCTCATACACACGAATTGGCTCAGATGGTTCCTCTGCGTGAGACTCTTCAGCAGCTTCTAAGTAACTCAGGTTCTCCTCCATGACCCATAAGGCTCTGCATGGCCCGGCTCCTGCCTCACTGCTAACCCCACCCCAGTCCTAGTCATGCCCCAGCTCCTTTCCTACCAGCCAGCTTGGCCTTGGGCAGCTCCTACTCCGTTAGGGTCT